ATTGATCATCGAGTAAAAACTTGATTGAAAACAGAATATTTTCACATTTCGTGTAGGTAACAATTCCTCTGTATCTGAAAATCTTCTGATGGGAAGAAATGCGGAAAAAATATATAATGACATATTTTTATATTATTATCTATTTCAGATATTTTCTACAACTTTCTTTGATTTAAAACAAGTTTAATTTTCTGTAGATAACTGGATTCGGCATAAAATTCTGCATATAGTACACTGTCTTTATTTAAAGCACACTGCGGTGTTGCCATTCTATTTCTTATTTACTAAAACTTTGGTTAAAAAAATTATATACGAAAAGTGGTAAAAAACTAGAGTGAATATAACTTTATTAATACTTAGTATGTTTTCTTAAACATGAAGGATACCAGAATAAATTCGTGTAGAAAAATTTACTTTATCGTATACAGGGTATTTTTTATGGCGCCACCAAAATCGTAATATTTAAAATGTTGTATCTCATTTTTTTAAACGCAACACCTTGTATATTATTTTTCTTTCAAATGTAGAATTAAAAGGTAAACATTTTTGTATTTAAAGTGTTCTTAAATTTTTAGCCGTTTTGCAAATATTTTCTGTATTTCATTACATATGGGATTTTCAACGATAAAATATCAGACAAAGATCATATTAGGTGGCTTTGATAAAAAATTACTGTTGCAAGAGCCATATTATGTAATATAATACTGCGAATATCTGCGAAACCGTTAAAAATTTAGAAACACTTTAAATAAAAAAATGTCCACTTTTTAATTCTGCATCTGACAGAAAAATAATATACAGAATGTTGCATTTAAAAAAAATTGAGATATACCATTTTAAATATTCCGATTTTGATGACGCCATAAAAAATACCCTATATAGAATGATGTAAAATAATTAAAAAAAAAATAAAACTAACTTTACCATAACAATAAAAAATCCTAAAAAAAGTATCCTAAAATATTTTAGGATACGCCCCTTTATAAACCTTGAAACATATGAATAAAACTTTTTTCACATCTTCGACAACGACGACGATATTGGACTTCTACGCACTAAAGGACCACCCTGTATATTTACGGTGGTTTAAAGCTAGGTGTGGCACTTTTCTTCCCCTATAAACTCAATATTTTGTCTATAATATTTTGAATATTGTTATATTACGACCACTTATAATAAAAAATAAATAAGGAAAAAACATAAAAAAATACAGTCCACTAAATTTATAAGAGATTATGCTATTATAAAATTATTTCAATTAAAATATATGAATAATTTGCGGAGACTTTAGATATACAAAATATTTACTCGTTTTAAAATTGTTTCAAAAACCAATCTATATAAATTATCTCGTAAATTATTATTGGAATGAAAATGTTATGGCAAATCCCCTGACCAAAAAATATGTTCATGCGCATATTTGAGACAACCTGTATATCTAAAAAACTATTTTTAAAATCTATAATATCTAATAGCTCACATGCTAAAAAATTATAACATTTAATTAATTACAGAATATCTCAGCTTCTAAAATAAACAGATATAATTAAATGTTTATTGATAATTACTATCAGCGATTTACAGCCGATGGAAATCTAAGAAAACTCAAAGAACAATTTTTTGAATTATTACTACAATTAATAGCAGCACACAGTAAGGCATTCATTTTTTGTCAATCCGTCTCTGTGCTGGGACCCAACGCTCGAACCTCGCAGCTCGACGGACGGAAATCAACTGAAACGCTTGATTGCATGATGACAGATTGCAAAAACTGGCAGAAAATATTTGCGAGAGTGCAACTACTCTTTTCCTTAAACTATGATAATATGCGACGGCGACGGATCGGCCAGCGCGATCGTAGCCCGATGCTAGGCAGGAGTGGCGAGCGCCAGCCGTATGTTATCGGATACGGACTTAGAGGAACTAAATAAAAGACTAGTTTACGTACGGATCGGCCAGCGCGATCGTAGCCCGATGCTAGGCGGGATGGAGAGTGCCAGCCGTATGTTACGTGTCCCGAACCGAAAGGACTGAGAGGAACTAATTAAAAGACTAGTTCACGGGAATCTATTCAGTCGGCAGATTCGAGATATAATACAAGGCGATGACGGCGGATTCGGCCTTGTCTATTGCCACAGCCGGCGCAGCGTAATTACCACAGAAAATTGTCGTGGATACTGTTTTTGATTTTCAGTTTGTTCTTTGGTGGAATGTTTTACTTTAGGTTGTGTTTTACTTTAGGTCCCTAAAGTAAAAAATATATTATAAAACGAAGTAGATATTCTGATTTTTTAGACAAAAACAAAAAGCTTGAAGTGAGGAAAAATCCAATTTTTTCGTAAAATTTTCGTATTATTTGCTCCAATTGATTTGTGATATAATTTTTTAAACTCTGATTTGAGTTTCTTTTTTAATTTTTTTATCTGTAATAAAACTTACCTATATGTTTTTAACAAACGCAATTACACGTCTCGTTATATTTCGTACATTATAAAAATTATACAGATCATACTGTGAATGGTTCTGACTGACATCGAAATCCATAAGCAAGCAACGGGAATATCAATATTACTCGGGAACTATTGTGAACTAAAGACCTAGTTCAAGGAACTATCCCTCTGGAGGAACTAGATCTATAGAACTAGAATTCCCATTTCTAGTACAAAATAATACTGGCACCGAGGCCTACAAGTTTCAAGAATTAACTTATTTATAAAAACACAATATTAAAAATTAACAAAATATATAAATATAGATCAAAAGGGTTCCATTATTATTTTTTTTAAGATTATGCGACATATTAAGAATCTTCCTTCGAGCACTTTTCTGGGCATTTGATTGACAACTTGAATGCCTTTTGTATTGGGGAGTCTTGCCTAGTCTTAGGTCTGCTACTAAACCTGCATATTTCGTCCTTATGTTGTAATTATGATTGTCTTTGATACGTATATTTGATGTTCACATTGCTTTGAATTATTTCCTGTTCTATATTTTATATTAAGACAGACGGCCATCTGGCATGGATAGAAGGACGTCTGTCTTTTTATTTATTTTTTTATTTATTTTTTTTACTTTCATATTTTTTGTGCATGTGCGTACACCGTTTTTTCCATATTGTATAATAAGTTTGTAAACTCGAAGCCCAATTAAATCACAAGCAACATCATTTTATTACATGCATTATCTATTATATTTGCAATATTTTGAGAAACAAATGAAAGAACTGTATATTTCTTTTTCTGGTTCTTTAAGTAATATTACGATGAAATTATCGCCGGTAGTGCCAGTTACGATTCTTGTTTTTATGAAACGTAAATTGTGCATGTGCAATTGTGTTCGTTCAAATGAACGAATCGTAGGAGTCGATTCAATATGAGAAATTGAACCCTGTGATTCGATTCACTAAAAACAATCGTAATGCCCATCACCATATTTATGTATATTAGAAGTCTACAACAAAATAGGCAGAGAATGAGAATTGCTCAATATAGAGTATCTCTACAGTCTATCTAGATATAGACTCACCTAACTTTTGAAGAACTTATAAGGAAAGCCGAGGCCTAAGGCGGCATAGCTTTATAATATGATCAAACAATTTGGGTTATACGTAAAAATATAAAACACTCCCAAATAATAATACTAAATACCATTAATACCACTATAAATCACACAATAAATATTACTAAAATACTCTTTGATAAATAGCTGACCACTACATATCTATAATAAATAACCCTAAAACACCCTTTGATAAACATTTAACTAAACAATATTAAAATGCCCTTTGAGAAATACTTGTCTACTATAAAGCACACACACAATAGCATAATAATAAAATACCCTTTTCTATCTACTACGAAAACTCAGCGATAACTGTGAACTAAATAATATTAAAATACTTTTATACATAAATCACAGTAACACCCGTGAGGGAACGAAACACACTCACCTGTATAATACTTCATTCCTTCTATTCAGTCCCAGAAATATTTTCCACACAATTATAATCTGAATTTAATATTTTTGATGTGTTGATAAATAGCGACGTCATGTCAGTCAAAATAAGCATCAACAACGCAAACCGCATCGCCTAGGAAACGACAATTTTATAGTTTCCATTGTGATATGGTCCAGAAAAGTCAATTAGAGATTCAAATAAAATATTATTTGTTAAAATAACAAAATTTAATATAAACTATTTTTTTAACGGAAACAAGACTCTTACACTTGTAGGAGCTATGGCCTTGTTTTGTTTTTGAGAAGGAGGGGAAAATCTTGCATGAGATACCGTTGTGTAGTGTCGGATTCTTCAACGCTCTATCCAGCTGGAAACCGCTTGCGCATTACTTCAGCTGGAAGGCTGTCTATACGGTATGGCCCCGCATTCTATTTTCTTTGATTTGTATTATTTCTCGAATGCATTTATATGTAGTTTTCCATGATGTCTCACCGCTTAGGAGCCCTTGCATCATATTTTTAGCATTAAAGACTTTTCCGCCACTGTCCCGTTGGAATGACTTCCTAAACTGCTTCCATTCACTGCAGAGGAATAGTGTGTGTTCGACACTGTCAACTTCTGTTGTTCAACAAATTTGAGGTGGATCTCTCCCTTTTATACTAGCTGTTAAAGCATCCGTGCCCTGTCAATGCCTGAGGGGCTAAGGCCTGTTTACTTCTCTGTATACTATTTTATTTTTAACTAAAAATAAATGGTAATTACTTATCTTAAAAAAATATGTTTAATATTAGTGGATTCTATTCCACAAATACGAACTTTCACTTCTTCCAAGTACTTTGTTTACTTTATATTTTTAGATGAAATTATTATTTTTAAGTAGCCAGATTATTAATTTCATCTAAAAATAAGAAACATTTAAAAAGTTTAAAAATTCCATATTCCTATTAAATACTCATAATTTCACTTAATCTTAATAGGATCTTTAGCTAGAACACTGGGAAGAACCACTTATAAATGATTACCTAGTTATTCTAAATATAACACAGCAGTTACGTATTAATCGAAGAAAAACACAGCACACATTAAGATTGGTGCAATATAAAGCTTAACCTACGTCCGATATAGAACATTTTCATTTTTTCTCAATTTTCAAAATGATTATGAATTTTACAATCACATTTTTACTTTTAGCAAATTTAGCAATTGCGGTACTATCAAGTCCAGTGTTAAATGCGACCTGTACTATATCTTCATTCGATGAAGTTGCTAACGTTGTTGCCAGTTGTTCTGACATTGTTCTGGAATCTTTTACAGTTCCAGCTGGAACCACACTTAACATGAATTTGAATTCCGGTTCTACTGTGACTGTTAAAGGTGTAATTAAGTTTGGATATCAAGAATGGGCTGGACCGCTGGTTCAAATTTATGGAAACCAAATCACTTTTAGAGGAGCAGGTGGATATTTTGACGGTGAAGGTAAAGTACGGGAAATTATAATATAAAACTATTAATTTATAATTGTTAGAAAAATTAAATAAAAGACTTAATAATAGACATTTCATAATTTCAAAGAGAAAACGGGTCGATGGTGGAAAATTGCTGCGTTTATCAATAAAAGTGTCAAACGTAGCTACCACAGTGTGGGCTGTCTGTTACTAATAATTAATATTACGTTGATTTACTTTGTTTTTGAGAAGGGGGAAAATCTTGCATTAGACACCCTGTCATTGGGTAGTGTCGGATTCCTACCGAATAAAGAAACCCTCCACGCATTCCACCGCTCTATCCAGCTGGAAACCGCTTGCGCATTACTTCAGCTGGAAGGCTGTCTATACAGGGTCCGACAATAGTGCGTCGAGCATCTGTAGCTCCTAGAATAAAAAACTTGAGAATTTTGTTTAAGTGCAAACCTAAAGTATGTACCAGGCTGTATTTTAGGAAAATATTTTAACTTCTATAGGGTGGCTCAAAAAAGTGTGAGTGGACCTGGATGATTTTTTTAAATGGAACACCCTGTATGTTATTGCATTTTTGGCTTCCTTTCAAATCACGTTACATAACCCCCTATATGAATAAATATATTTCGATAGTTTCAGAGATATTAAAAAATAAATCAAAAATATATATTTTTCAGCCCTTCTTAAAAAAATTATTAAAAATACAAGAACTTTTCTGAAATCAAAACTACATTAGGTATTTACATTAGATGGTCTGTTCTTACTTTGCTATAAATATGAAAATCTTAAATTATACAGGATGTTCAAAATTCTACGCCAAACTTACTAAAATATAAAATAATTTTTTTTCGTTTTTTTAAATGGTATATTATTTTTTCAATAGACGGAGAATTAAAAAATGAACATTTTTTTGTATTTATATATTCTTCTTGTTCTTTGTTTATTTTATCGAATTAAATTGTAATTACTAATACTAAAATAGAATGGTAATTTACCTTTCAAAAAGTCTTTAATTATGCAGATAATTAATAATATTGAATACTAAATTGTGATAAAAAATAATTAGGCACATAGGTCAACACAAATTCAAGGCCCGTCTAGATATAAAGATAAAAAACTTAATATTTCTTTCATTCTTAGAAATAGATACCCCTAACTTTATATCGTTGAAAAGGGTTAAACGCCAGAATTTTTTTAAGTTCATAGCCAACTATGATTTCCATTTAAAAAATTATATTTTTCATTATTTGTGACAAAAAGAGCAAGAATAGAAAAAAAATTACTACGCCACTGGATTGTGCTTAAAAAAGTGCCTTAAGAACGTTTCTACAGAATTTTATTATTCCGCAAAATATAAAAGTTATGAGCAATTTTCAAAATGGTAAAAAATTCAAAAATACCGCGTATCTCAGTTGGCAGTGAAAATATCAACAGGCGGTTTACGCTATTAAACGTGTCTCAGAAATCGAGCCCATGACATGTATGTCGATTTTGCTCTATCTAGTCAGGAAATAGGTTTTCTCTGTTAAAACAGACCAATTTCGACCACCCTGTACAGTAAACTTATTTTGATTCCAAAAATACGTAGTAATTCTATGTCCACAGAATATTGGGACACCCTGTATATGAAACTAACACACTGAAATGATAAAACTTGAATAATACCAATTTGATTTATAATTTAGGTGCAAACTACTGGGACGGAGACAACAAAAATGGAAAAGTGAAGCCCAAATTTTTCAAAATCAAAACTAAAGCTAATTCGATTTTTAGCGACATTACTCTTAAAAATTGTCCTAAGAATTGTGTTTCAATCTCGGCTTCTGACACTACCTTGACTGATTGGTTAGTTGACTGTTCCGAAGGAGATTCGGTAAGTTTTTATATCCACGAGACACTATTATACAACACTAAAATCGCTTATACAACTATTTACATGTAAGGCTAAGAACATAGTGGAGCGACGAGGATAGCGGCGAGCAAGCAGAGCGATAACGCATCGAGCAAGCCTCGAGGTGCTGAAAAATAGTAGAGCGGCGGGGAATAGCGAGATAATTGTGCAATTTTATTATTTTCATTTGCTTATTGATAATTTAAAATGTTAACAGTGACTAAAATTGTGGTCAGTAGTGTCGCAAACATTTGGTTAGATGAAGTTTTCAAAACCCCAGTAAGTATGGCAAGTTTTATAACCTTGGCGAAAATTTGTTGCCACTTCATCTCATAACTTATCTAAAATGTACCGGTTATGGTGATTACTATTTTTCTGATCCCATAAAATCTCTCTTACAAATACTAAATCTATTAATTTTTGGGAATCTATCATTTTCTACAGCGCGACAGAGCGACGAAAACAAAATTATTTGATTCGTCTCGCCGCTTGATCTAACCGCTCGCGCAGGTCGCTTTACAGTACATCTGCTGGATCTGTGTCTATGAAAGGAATGCGGACAAAAACATTTAAATAAACAGCAATGTATTTTATACGTCGACTTGACGACTACGTCACCGCAAATCGCTCCGCCTACTCATTTTATTGGCTACTTGCAAATTTGTCGATTTTTATTGATGGGACGCGCCGTCTAATTTTTACGAAAAACATCGAGAGAATATCGTTTCCTCTCACGGATACCCTGTAGCTACAGAACGTACAGACGTACTGTACTATGTTCGCACGTACTTGTCTTCACAGGTTTGTTTTGGACGCGATTTCGCGCTGCTAGCTCGCCGCTATCCTTGTCGCTCCACTCACTAGGCTCGATCGACGCGATATCGCGCTGCTTGCTTGCCGCCTCTCCTCGTCGCGCCACTATGTTATTAGCCTTGCTTGATTTTTCATGCACCCGTTGTCCGACGATACGATGATACGATATTAATTTCATTGGTTGTATTTAAAAGCTTCGATTGGTTAACCGTTTCTAACCAATCGAAGTCTTCAAATACAACCAATGAAATTAATATCGTATCGTCGGACAACGGATTCATGAAAATCAAGCTTTACTTCGACGCGGTATCGCGCTATTTCACAGGGCATCGAACAATGCCCAAAAATAAAGAAAGCACGTTTCAATTTCATCCAAAATAAGTGCGCAATCGATGATTTATAATACAACTGAAATGATAAAAAACATAAAAAACCGGTTTTTGTTGCGGCTCATTTCTTATCACCCGCGAAACTACTGTTTTAAATCCGTGTCTCTTATCAAGCGTATTAATAATTTATCTTTGTGCGTGAAAGTGCGCTTAAAAAGTAAAAAGGTTTGCAATTAACCCCCTAAAAATTATGGAGGACATATATCAAGGGATGTACTTTAAAACAATTTATTTGCTTTGGGTGCTAGCTTACTTGTATTTTTTTCCTACGCTTAGCACAATGCCATCTTAAATCAATACAAATTTTTTGGTTATCTATTTTCAAATTGGATTTAAAAAAAATCATGAAGTATAATTTTGTAGTTTAAGCGTTTTCTTGTCGCCTAACTACTTAAAATTCATATCATGTAGAGTTTGTCTGCTCCTACTTGCTCTTTACTTTGTTATAAACGGTTTTATCTATTTTTTTTTTTTTTTTTTGTTAAATCTAGTAATTCAATTTATATCAACTTGTTGTCGACCGACTGATACAAAATTTGGTACACACCTTTAGTTTTGATGACAATTTAATTAGTTAGGTACCTATATGTATTCTGACCTTAATTTTGACCTCAAATTCTTGATCTACAACCTGAAAAATCTTTGCGTACTAAATTTCAACAAAATCGGATGCATATAGCGCTATGATTTTTGTCCCGTCATCCTATATAATCTATGCACTGTGTGCTTGCTCGCCGCTTTCCTCGTCGCTCCACTATGTTCATAGCCAATCAAAATTAAATACAATAGTAATCAATATGGCGGAACTTCCGGAAATACCAGAAGTTGACAACAACTTTCTTATTTTAAACGTATTTAAAGTAAAAGTACCCGTATTTTTTATTACATATTTAAATTCTCCGTAAAATTTTATGAATTTTGATGTCAAACACTCTATGTATATCCAACATATACCTTTTTTCAAAAAAAATATATTTAAAATGTTTGGAGAAAAAAATTGCTTGTCAAAAAAAATTGTATAGCCTAAACGCCAAATTTATTGATTACCACAGCCACTATGGTATAAAGAGAAGACATGTGGCTATCTAAACAATTAAATTGTTCGAATGTTAAATAATATTGGCCATAGCTTTCATGAAACTGAGCGATTAAAAAATTATCATAAAATAAATCACTACTAACATATCCAGGGGTGGATGGGGAAGTGGAAACCGGCCCGGGAATAACAGGCAACCGGCCCAAATCCACAAAAACAAAATGACCATAACGAAGAAACATATTTTATTTATTAATATACAGGGTGTCCCAGAAATAAGTGCAAGTATTTTAACTGGTAGTATATTTTGGCTTCAGAAACACGCCTATCATTTTTTTTGCGAAAATTTGGAATTTTTTGGAGAAATTTTTGGATTTTTTTTAGTTTTAAGTTAAGAAAACATAATTTCTTGATAATCTCTCAACATAGGTAGTAGATTAAATTTACATGAAAATACAGAAAAGATCCAGTGGTTCTCAAAATTTAAGCAAAAAAGCGTTTTTGTTTAAATTTTCAAAGTAAAATAAATCGGTTATTTTGGACTTACTTAAAAAACGGTAAAGAGAAAAAATGTTTCTTTTCACCAAATCTGCCCCTCCTAAAATACTTGCACTTATTTCTGGGACACCCTGGGTAAGGTCAAATCACCCCAAGTAAGGGTGATTTTTGCTCGGGCGAAAAAATCTCTTTTGCCTCCAATTTTTTAAAAATATTGAAATTGTCTTGATCAAAATTTTTATAAAGATCAATATCGGATCGGACATCTGAATTTTTACTATATAGCTCAGTTTCACAGGGTTCTACTGTTTTATTTCCATTATCGATAACGGTAATTTGATCTTGAATATGCTACGATTTTCAATCACGGTTTTGAGAAACTTTAAGACTTCCTGATTCATTCAGTTCAGCTGGCCCAATCCTCTGTGAAATACATTATTTTTAACTTTTCAGGTATATACTTTCTTACAGATTGTAGAAAGAAATTCTCTCTTTTCTGGTACAGCAGTAGCCTCGTCATGTATACGTGTTTTAATTTTGGTATAATTCTCATTGCGTAACTTTTCCTAGTTTCTACATTTGATATTTTGTATAATAATGCCATGACTCAAACGAAAAAAAAATTGGCAATACCTAAGCAGTGGATATGAATGTGTTTTAATAAAAGAATAGTGGTAAAACTATACAGAATGAGTCTTAAATAAGTGCAAATATTTTCAGGGGTGGTTCGACCCCAAGAAGACGTCTATGAATTTTTTTTTGTAAAAAAAGATGTTGAAAATCGTGTTTTTTCTTTTAAATTTTCCGGTATATTTTAGAAAAATTTTTAGAACTTCCTGTTCACCGCAAATTTTCCCACGGTATAGTTTCTTAATCTTTGATATTACGGCACAAAAAGAGATGCAAATACAGAAAGATTTAGGTGGTATTTTTTTTTTAAATAAGTCAGTTTTTTGTTTAAAAAATCAAACTTTAATAACTCGGTTATTTTGGACTTATTTGAAACACGGCAAAGAGAATATATTATGTTTCTTTTATTCATATCTACCAGCCCTGAAAATATTTGCACAAAGCAGCACAAATAAGGTGCACTTATAGACTCACCTTGTATAATAAAACATTTCAAATGGAACAACAAACAACAGATGTTTATTAAAATTATAAGTGTCTCAGAGGAAGACATCTAACAATAGTTATTTCACAAATTGGTGTTTATGTTTAAAAGCAACTAACGATTATATTGATGCAAATTGATTAGTTAGTTAGGCAGTCACTAAGAATTTTACGTAACTTTAGTTAGAAGATTAACCATTTAATTTTTGCTAAATCAATCTTTTTTGAGCTCTGATCGGGATCGGGACCGGCCCACCGGCCCACTGGGAATTTTCCCGTTTTCCCATATGGCCCATCCACCCCTGAACATATCCATTCCTTCTACCAGCAGATACTGTTTCATTTTGCTTGATAAAATAATAAATACTTACTTAATAACCTTATTGTAGGTAAATTAAATAAAAATAACTTGTTATAGATTTAAATAAAGTCCATAAACTAATGTCAATTTTGAAAATAGCTACTAAGTGTCACTAGAAAATTGAAAAAAAGAGAAAAAAAAAAGAATTTTTTTTAGAAAATTGCCATGGCGACACAAGCCATCTTGATTGCCATCTTATTGAAAAATTGCGTTTCATTCAAAATCTGAGCCAGATAGGTATAGCAAACTCTAATATAGTTTGAAAGAGCATTTAAATCTGCTTCGACATATTTAAAAAAATACGTAGTGTTACATTTAAAATAACGAACTTTTTATGCAAAAGAAATATTTAAAATAGACCAGCAATTTTTGATACCCCTGCATACATTTAAGGAAACAATCAAATTCTTTAATAAAGTTTGTTTCTCTGACTACAAAGTCAGCACAACAATTAATTCTGTAAGTAATGTACGGGGTGGGTCAAATTCGACGCTTTTAAATGGAAACACCCTTTTCTATAGAAGATAGACAAAAACTAATATAGGTGTCTGGAGCTCAATTTTTGTCTAAAACATGATGGCGAAAACCGCATATCGATATCTGTTACCGTTTCGGAGTTACGGGGTGTTTTTCAAAAATATGCATTTTTAACAAATCGCCGTAACTTTTTTGCTATGGAAAATTTTGTATTATTATGAAAACATTTCCAGCGCACCTTTTTACGTAGAATTTAATGGTTTAAGTATACTTTTTTTAAATTAATAATTTAAGA